GCCGCCGTTGTGTTGTTTCCGGTATTCCGGAAATTCCTACACTTTTATGCCTTCGCTTTCTATTACAGCGTTCCCACGACTCGTGGCTCTTGGTGCGCTTCACGATTACATTTTGTCTCACTTATGTGAGTAAATTCTACACGGATGGCCCGACCCGACCTCCTCTGCAAGTGCCGCGCATTCACTGTTGTTTATGAAATTCGGTGAGTGAGTGCGCGTCGGGGCGTGTGATGAATTTGCAGTGATAAAATTAATGCTTTAGCTGCTGGAGAAGCTTTCAAGCGCTCGCAGGAAAACCAAAAAACTGCATTAGCTTCCCGGTGTTGGGTGTTGCTCAAACAGTAGAAATTTCAGTGGCACTACATAAAACGTATTAAATTTGTATTATTCTTTTTTGCTTACATTTTTGCTTTATTATGCGTCATAAATCACTTCAGCAATATTTTATACAACATTTAAATTTGAACACTGGCTGAAAATTAGCATATATACCTCAGAAAATATAACTAGGAAGATTAAAAGAGTAATGCGACAGATTTCTCTTTAGTAGTGGCTACGAGCCATTAGTTGGTAACGATGTTTGGAAACAATTCTTACTCTAGGAATTTCTTTTTTCAAAAATTTCGTTTTAAAGCTAAAATATAATAATATTAGTTTGCTGATATTAGGTATTAAAATTTAAAGTGAAAAATTATAAATCGTCTTATTTTGGATCTGTGTGGCTATGTTAACCCTTCTTCGAAACCCAGCCAGCCTATAATTTTGGCTTAACCATCGCTGATTTGGCGCTACATTTGGAGAAACAAAGGGTGCCTTAAATAAATACACGCACTGCATTTACCATATCACCCGGAGCCATTCATCAAATTTCCGCCAATATGAGCGGCAAATACACACACGGTCGATTGGCGTATACTAATTTATTCGAATATTTATGTGTTACTAAAGTGGCGTCATTAATCAAATTTCACGTATGAGTGCTTAAGAACAAACATACGCTTGCACATACATATGTACAAACTGTATACCCCTATATGCGTGATGGCGAAATAAATTTTGGGAACTCAGCAGTTCATGCAAAACAAATCAGCATCCAACTGCTGCTCAAGCTTGGCAATAACAAAAGTCTATATGTATTTTCGTAAGTAAATGAGCCTGAATTTAATCATGTAGATACATATGTACACCTATAACATTTAAGCTTAGTTATGAGTGATAGCGAGAAACAAACAAAAATTAGCTCCGAAAGTCAATATTGAATCGAGCTGAACACACACACGAACCCCAAGCTGCCTAATTTGCATGTTTGCTTGTATGTGTCCGCCTACTTTCGGCTACCGGTTGTTGTGAATACAGATAAAAATCATGATTTCGTGTGCGCAATATAGAAAAGATCGTATTGCAATATACTTGTATGTGATGTGTGCATGTATGTAAATGTCAATGGCGCCAGCCGCTCGATTTGTGGCGACCGCAAGCAATGCTATAATTATCGTTTCAGGGGCTTCAGAGATATGTAAGATGGCGTACGTGGGTGAGTTAACAGCAGGCTCTCCTCAACCTTAGAAAGTTAACTGCGAAGTTTGGCTTTTTCACCGCGTCGCATTTTCCATATTTTTATGATGCCTCTTCATGGGGTATAGCAAGTAAAAAAAAAAAATTGTGAAATTTATTGGCTTCTTCAATTTAAATATTCATATAGTCAAGAGTTTATATTTTTACAAATTTTTTCTTGCATAAACTATCGCTGCTTAACCTGTTTAGCCAAATATACAAGTTGTGAGCCATTGGCGCAGCAGCATCTGCGAAATTGCTCAAATTTTATTGTATTTTATAGATTTCTGCAAAATCATCAAAAACACCAATAGGTATTGTTTATCATTCAGCTTCATAATTGAGTTGTAGGGTAGGGGGATGAAAAAGGGCAAAAACATTCAGACATTAATTTGACATTGCAACCGACTGGGATAGAGTAAACATGCGGAAAAGATCGATTCTCACACTTTAAATATAACATTACACTCTTACAACCGCCGTTATGTCATTTCCAGCAGAAGAGCAAACACTGATGTAAATTTTCCACTTTGAGCTTACAGGCAACATCAAAATCATCCACCCACCAAACCACTCAAAACTTTTACAACAAAGTAATCACTTTCAAACTTCCACCTCTTTTGATTTGCAGTGAAAATTTGAAATGTCTCTATCCTCTTTTTTTTCTCCAAAGATTAGTGAGGCATAGCCGCCGCTTTCGACTACATATGTGTACCTTTAATGATGCGAAATGAAACAAATGGATTTCCCTAATAATCCGCAAAGCGACAATATCCGTATGAAAGCATTTTCTCAGGCACTTAATAACATTTGCATAAGAAGTGACTAAATTTTATTGTTGCTTTTGTCTTTGCTACGCACGGAAAAATTCAATTTTCTGTCATTGAAAGTGACACTTAAACCCGCCGTTGCACAGCGGAGCACCAGGGTGTCAGCAATGATTTGATCATTTTTATTGTCGTTCGAATAAACAATGTTAGTTGGTATTAGAAATGGAGTGAAATTGAAATTTACGCCAAATATCAGCAATTCAACATAAGTCTTTGAAGCAGCAGACAAGGGATTGCTCGCAGTAAAAGGAAGTGGAGTTTACATTGCCAACGAATGGTTGCTAAGTAGCTTCTTATTAGCATTGACGGATATGGCTTTGAAATGCAAATGATTGCAACTTTAAGCTGAGGTGAGCTTAGTTTCGGCGTAGTAAGGCGTGGTGGGACAAGTTGAGGGTATCAAAAGCGAAATATAAATTAAGCTGCGTAAATAAATCACTGTGAGTCATTTTCAGCGCCTTTACCTTCCGGTGAGTAGATTTGCTGAACATTTTTATTTGTATTGCTTTTTTTGGTGTATTTTTTGCATCTCAGTTGCTAAATTAAATATTAAATAATTCTTTATTCGTTTGCTTTCAAGTTTAGTGTTACATTACTGACTCACACACTGCACATTTGGACGCAGAGGTTCACTAAACGTGTGTACTTGCATTCACACAATTGAAAAGGCGAACGAAGTTACCGAGTGCACTTTTGCTCACTTTTCACTGAAATATTTTAAAATGATAACATTTAATTCTCAACACCTCTTTCAAGCACTTGTCTATTTAGTTTTTTTTTGATTGAATTTTCCGAATTCATAAAAAGTATTTCCGCTGCGTATTGTCCAGCGACAATACTAGCTAATCCAATTATTTTGGATTTTTGTAAAATAAAAGTTTATACATATGTATAGTTGAAAGAAGAACATAAAGCAATAAAAATCAAGAAATAAGAAAAGCAAACAGCTCGATAAAAAGTGAAAATGTAAACAAATCAAATATTTCTGTGAATAGAAACAACAGCAATTAGAACAATTCAACTTAACTCTTTGACATGCCTTGATGAAGTATACATATATGTATGTATGTATATAATACATACAAATGTGTGTGTGTGAATGTTATTGAATTTTTTAACAGAATACTGTATTTAAACTTTGTCGCTTAAAATCTCTGAGTTGCAACCGTTATTCTTAATTTTCGACTTCTGCTGTTTTACCGTACATATCTACTATTTTCCTTTCAAAGTCCACAATCTCTGTTTGCACACAAAGCGGTAAAACTCAATGCTTTCCAATTAAAATATTTGCCAAGGTAAAATGTTAATTTTAAAAGTTCTCTTCTCTCCGTGCTTTTTAAGTCCAACAAAATCGCCTTACACATCTAACGACATCCTTCAATTCTCAATCATTAACAAGCTAATTAAAAAGTACAAAGTTTTACAAAGCTCAAATGCTTTGTATACAATGTATTTAGTACAAAATACAACAACAAATGCTGAAAGAGATTGTGAAGCACTTGAAAATTTCACCACAGCATTTTTAATTTCACAAATATTTAGCAAGAAATATGTGAATAGCCACGTACACTTGTAGATAGCTAGATGGCTAATAGGTAACTAAATATGTAGAAAATAGTATGCTTTTTTTGGCATCTTTGGTTTCTTAATTCTTAAGCCGCTAGTACTAAAGCTAGATTACTAAGTTGAGGATTGAAACAAACAAAATTGAGGTATTGAGATTGATCTTTTATGTATTTTTATGTACATACTTGTATGTAGTAAATGCATATACCTATGTAAAGGCTTAAAGACTAGGAGATATACAAGTAAGGGCTAGAGAATTTTCAGTATTTTTTTGCTTTTGCCTTTGAAATCTAGTCCGATTAAACAATTTTTATATCAATTTTCTCACAATTTACATAATTTTTTATTACTATTGGTATAAAGTTTTCGGTATTCATATATTTTCTACATTTTAATTTGCATTGTTTAACTGTCACTAACAGCTGTCTCCTTGTGAATCACTCTCGTTTACGTTCGCAGTAAATATAATAATACTCAATGAAAATGCAGTATTATGAAATTAAACTAAATGTGGAAGATTTAGTAACATCTAATAGTCTTACAAAGCTTATGTAACTCTCTTCAATATGCTAAAAGGAATTCTCATAACTCAATTGCTGCAACAAATAGAAAAGGTGATTTATAGTAATTTCTTTAATGTCTCTTGCTAAAAAATATGGAATGTATTCAAAACTCCGTGAGTAAGAAATCAGTTAACCCAGAAGACAGTGAGTGAATCAACGAAAATTATGTAAAATTAATAATATTTATTCCTTAACATTAAAACTGCGCACTAAGCCTTAAGCTTTTATCTCTATTAACCTATTTGTACCATTATTGTACCATTATTGACACTAATATTGTCTTTTTCGCCCATAATGATTGCGAATCTCTTATAATCTCGAGCCTGTAAATTTTACTCTTTTCTAAAACATTGGGTTTTAGCAGATTTATTTACTTCTAAATTGAATTGAAATTTTGTTTAATACAAATTGTAAATACATTTTATTTGTATGTGTGTATGGTTTTTTCTGTTTTCCATTTTAAATCATTTAAAACTTAAAAGCTTACCAAGGATGTATTTTCTGGTCACTAGAGACCAGCAGGAGAACAGCACAGAGTTTCTTAAGTTTTTGTAATTTTACACAGCTTAAAACAATTTGGAGAGTATGTTACATTTTTTACACTTACACATACATATATGTATGTAAATATTTCTAATTTTTTTCTTTCACACCAGTATAAAATCTGATTTTGATTAAACTCTGTTTTGGCATAAACCCAATGATAAACTCACACAGTGAAATTAATATTTGTAATTTGCATTTATTTAATTATTTTTTTTTTTTGGAATATTTGCTAAAGGAACTGCAAATGTTTTCTTAAATCACTTTTACGTATTCCATTCAACCATTCATTCTCTCTACCATGCACTTTGGGTTTTTCGGTTTGAGGATTCGAAAACACGTCTGACTGCTGCGAAAGTGTGCGAAGGACTAAAATTTGATGGCACCAAGTCGACAGTGCAACATCTGCCAGCCGCCGCAACCTGTATTTGTCTGTTTTCTTTCGCATCCAGCAAGAGCAACGCTACCTAACTATTGCACGTTTGGGGGGTTGGAGCGGTGGTAGTAGGCAGCGCACGCAAGGAAACACAACAACACATCAGCAGCAAGCAACAATATCGCATATAAACAAACCATAAAGCATAGCGACTACTCAGTGGCAGTCGATAAACTTTGGATCGGAAACTACGCGGTATGTGGAACTCAAATTAAAGCGCCACGCACATGGTGGGCCGTAGCATTCAAAATCAAACTGCCTGTGCGTGTGTAATAGATACTTATGTTCGAATGTGGGTGTTTAGCTGCTGGACTGTCGCTTTTCATTCACACCTTGGGAGGTAAATAAACAAAATTTGCCGCGGCGGAAAAGGCCTCCGTACTTGATAGCTTTTTTCTCTAGTTCATAGAAAAAACATAAAATTTAATCAGCTCATTCTCCTCAGCAATGACAAAGATACAAGTATAGGCAAAGAAAGAGATTGCAATGTATGGCAAGGCTTACCGGTTCAGTGCCCAGCACGCCGCACATTTTCGCCTTTTCGACAAGTATATCCATTCCGTTTGTGTCCTAAGGCACCGTTACGAGTTTTCTAAGCTGTCTTCCCGTTGCTGACACACATGTATTCACGCACGTATGCGTGTGTGTGTTTGTATGCTACATGCAAATGAGGGTCCCGCGTGTGACGTGACTTCGATAGAAAATTCTGAGGACGGGCTAATTTTGTTCTCCAACTTTTTTAAATTAAATTATTGTTATTCTTTGTTAATGCTGCGAGCTTGATTATTTTTTGCGGCTCATGGGCATTCGTTTGCGTTTGCTGCTCACTGCTGAAGTATGTTCCCTCATTGGCGACATTTAAATTAAATATGACATGTCAGGCAACAGGACAACTTTCACTTATGCCAGTTTGGGAAATAAAGGACAGCCGAAGTCCATAATCCCGAAGTGACTGCCGCGAATGCGTGCGAATGGCTGTTGCTAGTACTGTTATTTTTTACACGATCTGATTAATTTTGACTCGGACTGGTGAAATGGCAACGAATCGGAACCAAAAATGGCACACAAAATTTAGAATGTTTCGCCCTGAAGATTGTTAAGCGAAACAGTCTTTTTTTTTTTGTAGCACTTATATGTGACATGTGCGTGTACATAATTATAGTATTTACACATATCTATGGTATAAGCTCACATATTTGTATTTTGCTCACTTAATGCAAATGGATTAACGTATGGTACGAACCAAGCGCAACCTTGGAGTAATACTTTATTTTCCGTCCTGGCTCGCATTAACGCCGCCCCTCCTTCAAATCCATGTGATAATATGCCTTGCTGCTTAGCCAAAGCGCTCTTTGAGTGGTGACAGCTTTTGGTTGGTTTTGCTCGCCTAAATCTCTGCACAGTACCTGGCGCTCCAGCATTTATTTTTATACTCTCGCAACCTGTTGTGCAGAGTACAATAATTTAGCTCAGCTAGCGGTTGTTTCTTACACCGAAAGCTAATCGAGAGATGATCAAGACGACGAAACCAATTTCCGAAAGTTCACCTGCGGCCCGATCGTTCGATTAAATTTAAATGCAACACTTTATTATAAATATTTCCTGACGACTAGAAATTTTTATGTCTTTGACTCGAAAATCGCGTGAACGTATAATATTCGGCTGCAACCTAATTCCGCCCTCCTTTGCTTATTATGTTTGTCAACTTTTTTCTATCGCTTTATTTTGACGCAAAGGCGATATTTATGAATAATGGATTTCTTTAGACTCGTGTGTGTTAGCATGCCTTCCGCTTGTTTCTATATTCATATTGATATAAGTACTTGTATATATATGCGTATGCAGGCGTCTTATATGAGAAGGAAAGCTAAAATAAATGGAGTCACATACTCGTATAAGTGTATGTAGTACAGAATTTTTTTGCTTTGTACTCTCCTGCTTTAGGGATTAGTAGCAAACATATGTTAGACGCTTAATGATTTACGACGGAGCAGCGTTTAAATGCCGATAAATAAACAAAGCGGAAACTGGTTTGGGATGTTTATAAAGGAAACAGGTGGAAGGCGCTTAGTCTTTCTGAGTTCTTCTATCGTTGGGGTTTTCTTTTGTGTGTATGTGTCGTTTTGCCAACACATTCGAAGAAAACTCTCTGTCAAAAAGTTGCAGAAAAACTTCAAATAGAGTGTGATGCCATAAAATTGTGCAGCTAATTTCCATAAGAAGCAAATGAGCAGATTTGTATTCAAACGAAAATTATGGATGCTTGTGCCCTCTATTAACACGTGTGGAATTTAAACACTAAAATTACCTATATAATATGCGCTTGACACATTTAAATCCTCTGTATTAAGCAATTTCACAATATTATTCATTCGATAATCCCAGGATGGCTTAACAGTGTTCTTTTCCGCTCTTTGTTGATTGACTATGTTCGCCGGCGATGTGACTTCTAAGGATTAAGCAGTTCGTTCATTCAAACAGGCCATTGCAAGAGACTCATACGATTTAAAGTTTGAATCCGAATCGCAGGTCGCCTGACTGCGTGGCCGAACGTTGATTTCATAATGCTTGTTGTGTGTTGGCTTTCGCCGCTTCGTTGTTTACCCTCAACGCTAATTTGCCCTTAACTTAACCTTGTTATCGGCCTAAAAGTGTTGCAGGGGTCTTTAGTATTCCGTTATCGCATAGATCTACACGTTCATGCGATTCAATTGAACAGAGAAACTTTGGTAACGTGAACATTTGTATAGTTTTTGCATTTGGCCACTTCGGCGAATTTCATTGTGATAACCTCTTAGCCCCAAGTTCGGACTCACTCCGTGCTACTGCTTACTGTACCATAATATGTCTTTACCTCAAGTTGGGCAACTATCAAAAGAAAAGAGGCGGAGAAGGCGAGGTGTTCGCAAGTTATGACTTTCTGTTACGTCTTCACTAGTCCACTCAACAAACCAAATGAGGTAAATTGCAGTGACGGTTATCCAACGGACCAACTTTTAATTACGTCCTCCATGCCGCAACATCAAATAAATATGCATTGTAAATGCAACCGCAAAACTGTTAGAAGCGCAAATTTGTGAAAACTTTCAAAACTTGTTAATAACGGTAATAACTTAATTATGTCATTAAGTGATTTGCCACAATTTGAACGACTGAACACCCTCGAGCATGCAAATATGAACCAGTTATGAATTGTTCAATATAAAAGGCATACTTTCCATACAAATTATAAACAGATGAAGCGCGAGCATTAAATTAACAAGTTTCAATTTGAATATCACGGGAAACTCATTGGACGTCCGTTCACCAGATTTTACTAAATGAACTTCAGATTTCTTTCGCGTACTTTTCCACTCCGTGATTATTATTTTTATGTGCCGAAATTGTGCCTCGGTGCACTGGGCTTTTGGCCGCTAAACACGAGTGCGCCGCATGCGTCCAATGTGTGGGCTTGGGGGAATCTCATAATTTTGACTATTGGAGTCTTTACCGAGATCCATGCCGGCTGCTCGGTGCTGAAGACCGATATGGAACTCGCTTTGGACACACTCTGCCCTGCCGGTACCTCGGCAGTAACATTACTGAAAATGGCTTTGATATATTATTACCGCAAGGATTTGGCATGGGTGCTAAAGAGGCTGCGAGACTTGGTGTATGAGCCCGACGGTGAGCTTTTAGCGCTGTGCCAAGTATTGTGATTGTGTGATTATCAAGCTTGGTATTTTAATTCTTCTTTTTTCACGCACTCTTCTTTGCTCTCAAATTCAATAGTGTCAATAAATACCGTTAAGAAGCATACTGTACGTGCGCACGCCGTTATGGCAGCACGTCTCAATTTCATACCGTTTGTTATGGGCTTCATCACATGCACCTCGTACAATCTGAAGCCGTTGCTAATGACTCTGATACTCTACGTGCAAGGACAAGAGCCCATGTGGAAGCTACCATTCAATATGACGTGAGTGTGAGTGAGTGAGGGCATACACGTTTGTCACATGGCATACGAAGCCTCCAGGAGGCGTTTCGATATACATGTGTGGTCGCGGCAGCAACAAGCAGCTACTAAGTAGAGCATCTACGTTTTCTCATTGCAGCATGCCATCATTTCTACTACATGCGCCCTACTTTCCGCTAACCTACATATTCACAGCCTACACGGGCTACATTACGATCTTCATGTACGGCGGCTGCGATGCATTTTATTTCGAATTCTGTTCGAACACAGCGGCCCTGCTCGAGCTGTTGCAGAATGATTTGAAGTCTATCATCAACTTTGGTGAGTCATTGCAAAAAATCAATTTAGGGGAAACACATGCCTTATTGATGTTACAGAGATTTGAAGAAATTATAAATGAGCGATAGCGCTTGAAGAAAGAAAAAGTTATAATACCCATACAGCAGCAATGACAATATCTTAATTTTTCAGACAAACTCATCTTAACAACGGAGGAGTCCACCATGCTGGAGTGGCGTTTGGTGCAATTCATCAAGCGCCACAATGATATTATCGAGTTGACGCGCTTCTTCTGCAAACGTTACACTGTCATTACATTGGCGCACTTTGTCTCTGCGGGTATAGTGATTGGAGCAAGCATATTTGACCTTATGACGGTATGTGCGGGCATTTAAGTCTGTTCCAGCGCACATTAACAAACTCAGGCTAAGAGCTTAGACATTTTACTTACTTGACTACGTGCAAGGTCTAAGTCTTTTTATTTATTTTCCAGTTTACTGGCTTCGGCATTGTCATCTACATTGGCTATACCATCGCGGTTTTGGGTCAGCTTTTCATTTACTGCTATGGCGGCAGCATGGTGGCTGAGAGCGTAAATATATTAGCACAATTAATATTACCACCCAGCCAACTTGTTCATTTTGTCAACGTTTTTTTATATTTAATATATTTTTTAAATATTTTTCTAAATTAATGGCGTTAATTTCTGCCATGCCATTCTGTGTAAAGTAAACAGATTTTATTAAAGCATTCAACATCCCTTTGCAGAGCGTTCAATTGG